CCAACCTAGCAACCCGCTTCTTATCATTTAATCCCCCAATCATATACCCAACTTCCTCACTTTGAATACATACAAATCCCATCAAGTGCATAACTCATCATATACACTAGCCATGATACATGATACATTAAAGCATATACATTGATTGACATCATCTGATTTTTGTATATCACAGATTTTGGGGTGAACAACGACCTATCGAAGGCAATGATGAAATTGGACATCAGCATATGCAGTCTTGATAACCTTATTAAACCTATCATTCTAATACTCTGGAGGTATATTTTTGCGAATGGACTTTGATGACAATGCATTCATTTTACCCGTGCCGTTATGATTGAAGAAAGCTTAATTGCTAAAACACCTTTTACCCACGACTGATTGAGATAAAAGACATGAGTGATCCTGAAAACTGGAAAGTGGCACGTTGTTCAAGATATTTACTTCATTTGGAGAATAGACAAATCAAGGAGAAACGGCAAAGGCAACTGACATTTAGTCTTGGCATATCAGACTCAGCCTTATTGTGATGGTATAAATAGGTCTTACACCCACACCAACAATAACACGCTCTTTCCTTCTTCACGCGTAACGCCTGATAATGTATCCATATCAGCAACCACCTTCGTCTTATCCTCCTCCACCACCAGGTGGCAGTAACCCATCGTATCCTCCTGCATATCCACCACAAGATACATATCCACCATCAAGCAATTCACCTTATCCACCAAGCCAATATCAGCAATCGCCTGGTCCTGGTGGATTTAATCCTGCCTACACTCATCAGCCTGCTCCACCATCGCCATATGGTGCACCATCACAACCACCAGCACCCTATGGCGCACCACCACAACCACCTGCACCTTATGGTTCACCATCACAACCACCCGCACCTTATGGTGCACCACCACCACCACCTTCACCTTATGGTACGCAACAGCAATCACCCTATGGTGCACCACCACCACCTCCTCCATCTTATCCACCAAGTGATGCCAGCCCATATTCTCAACCTCCACCACCACCTCCTGCAAGTGGTAGCCCTTATCCTCCTGTAAGCAGCCCTTATAGTCAACCTCCTCCTCCTACAAGCAGCCCATACAGTCAGCCACCACCACCTCAACAACGTGATGCTTATTCACCTTATGGCCAACAACAGCAACAGCAACAACCATCCTATGGTCAACCTCAACAACCACCTTATGGTGGCTATGGCCAACAACAATTGACCTTGCTTGTAAACTCTGCATCGAATCTGGTGGATGTCGAAAAGTTTGGCAAAAACGACCCTTATCTTCAATTCACAGTCAACTACCAAGACCCCAACACCTTCCAAAAGACAGCTACGCAAAAGAATGCGGGTAAAAATTGCTCGTGGAATCAATCCTTTACATTGCCCATGGGTGGTCAAGAGCTCTATATTGAAGTAATGGATGCCGAACGTGCTGGATTTGATGAAGTCATTGGATTTGCAGCTATCCCTCTCAATCAAGTGGGTCCTCAGGGTCTTAATGCTGTGTTCCCTATTTACACTGTCAGCAACAAACCAGCTGGCGAGGTGCATCTGACTTTTGGCAATGGTGCTATGCAGCCCGTAACACAAGGCCATTCTTATGTCAATGAAGGCCATCAAAAGCGTGTCAAGGGTTTACGCAACAAGGCCGTTGCCTCTGATGCAGCTGTGGGTGGTGCTATTGCTCTCGGTGTTGGTTTACTCGCTAAGCATGCATACGATGAACATAAAGGTCATCATGGTGGACGTGAAGAAGAATATCGCTACGGCTACTAAAATAGGGTATACGTATGTGTGTGTGTGTGTGTGTGTGTGTGAATAAAAGATGCTTTTTTCTTTACTTGTATTAGGCTATATACGTGTATGCATTTGTGTGTGTGTAAAACTTTTTTTATTTGAGAATGTCGAAATCATGCAATTCAATGGCAGTTGTTTGTCGATTGGTGGCTCGTGACCTCTGCATAACAACGACTGCTTTTGTATCATTAAACTGAAGCTTCCACACCGTTCTTGCTGGTTTCGTAAATGTGCGTACAAGTGTGCCTGTTTCCAAGTCCCAAAGTTTAACACGTCCATCGCTACCACCACTTAGGATACGCCTGTCGTCGAATTGTAAGCATGTTACTGAATTATCATGGGCTGATATCCGATGTCGACATTCGTAGCGGTCAAGATCCCATACTCGTAAACATCCATCTGATCCACCGCTGACAAGTAAAGAGGGGTCGGATGGTAGTAATTGTAAATGACCCACAAGTGATGTATGACCTTGAAGTGTGGCGAGACAATGACCCGATGAAGCTGACCATACACGAATTGTTGAATCAAGAGAGCCCGTCATGACACGAGTGCCATCAAAAACGACCGCATAGATTTGTGAATGGTGGCCTGTAAACGTTTGCAAACATTCGCCCGTATCCATGTCCCATAATCGTGCTGTGTGATCATATGAACCCGATGCAACGCGGTTGTCATGGATATCAATGCAACGCACACTCGCTTGATGTCCGACACATAAATGCTTTAGAGTTCCTCGTTGCACATCCCAAATTCGCAAGGTAGCATCCCGTGAGCCGGTCACAGCAACTTGTGCATCACGCATTTTCAAGCATCGAATCGTGGATGAATGCCCTCTTAGCACATGACGCAATGTACCGCTATTCAATTCCCATACTCGTAATTCGCTATGGATGGAAGGGGTCAATCATCATGGACAACAAGGCTACATACGTATGTTTCTACTTACCGATCGCATCCTCCAGACACAAGAATGGTCTCCTGTTCGCTGACCTTGACAAATTGAAGGGCCCATACACCACCCTCGTGACCCGTTAATGTGCGCACATGGTTGCCTGAGATGCTATCAAACACCTCTATTCGGTGATTGTCACACCCGACAACAATGAAAGGATCTTGTACTTGAAGACTGGTCACCAAGGAAGATTGAATGTTGTTTGGACATGCTGTTAATTTGCCTCCTCCCTTGTTCCATGCACCATCAATGGTATACAATCGTTTATAGTAATGCCGAAAAGAGCGTATCGATAATGCTGTGGTTGCCTTGGAGATCGGAAGTTGTGGTAACGTTGAATGGGGGGACATTTGGCGGCGGCGTTGTAGTTCGAGATGCCGCTGGCACATGCGTTTCCATATCGATTCATCCTTGAGTAGCATGTTCCAAAAAACAGACACTTGTGATGCCCGAGTAAGGGTATAAGGATCATTGATATACTGAAGGATATGCAACGATAATTCAATAGGCAATTGCCGTAAAAAGTCAATCTTGAGCTTGGGAGCAATAAGGGAATGTACAAAAGCAAGCAGCTGGTTGTCGCAACATAAAAGTAGCTCAGATAATAACAATTGTTGTTGCTTGTTGTTGAGCTGTGTAAAGGTATCTTTGACGGACCATATGTATTCGAGCCTTGAAGTGTCCATTCTGGACATTAGCTTTTGAGGACTACCTCCCATGGACAAGTCGACGTACGATGTGTATAGGCGTGGGTGATGTGGAGGTGATGAGCAGCGATGGTGGTCATTGTCATGGCTTGTTGTTGTACTTGTACTGCTACTGCTGCTAGGTGGAGTGGCAGGTGGCGAAAGGTCGTCTTCTGTTGCTGTGCATAGGCTCATGATGATTAATAAGGATGATAATGTAAAAGAGAGAAAGAGAAAAGAGAAACGATAGAATGAGTTGCCAAGATAAGGGATGCAAGAAAAAAAGTGTTGGGATGTTGAATGTGGTCGAAGAAAGGGGCAAGCAGGAGAAGAGAAAAAAAGGTGAACAGCGTGGTTAATGCATAGTAGTGTTTTTAATTTATTACAGCCTTGTGCTTGATGGATACAAAGAAAGCAAGAAACATGCAATCTCGGGAACCACACCTTGCCACTTATAGTCAACATCAACAACAACATGAGTTCATTGACATTTACGTCCATTGTTATACTTTTCTCTCTCTCTCTCCTTCAATGCTATATAATGTACCATTCATTTTGTGTGTCTATATAGACCCATCACCATGACGGTCTCCTCGATGCCCCTTTTTTCGATACCTCAATGCAAGGAACCAATGACATTAAGCCCGACCAACCCCCACATCCTACCTCTTTCTCTCTGTAATTTGATTTCACAAAGATCACATATTTTTTGCTCGCCTTTTCCTTGTCTCTTTATGTCCTTCCTGTCACATTTATAGACCATGTATCCATCATTTCGTTATCCCAAAGATTCGGCATTGAAGGGGAGGATGATCCATCACACTATGCATCCGCCACCTGAATCATGTCATTTTTATTATCATGGCTCGACTCTCTTTGTTGTGCGTAGGGAGATGGATACATGGAGGGATTTCTTGAAATTGCTCGTTTGTATTCCTTGCACATGTTTTGTATGCAAGCAAATGAATGCAAGGCCTCTGCATTCTTTTACATCGGGTAGTTGTCTTGTTTTGTCTATTATTCATTCACATTTTACTCTTTCAATTGTGTGCTCCAATGACTCATATACTACCATTTCAAGCCAACATATGATGTAAGTGAAAAACACAAGCATGCCATGTACTACCGAATACACACACACGCACACACGCACACACTTTCTCTCTCTGCTGACGTGGTGAGAACAAAATCATACCATGTGCGTCCCCCAATGTCGGAGTGTACAATCAATTGAGATCAAGCTGTCTTGCCAAATGCGGCGATCATCAGCTGCATTAGCATTTCATGTTTATCTAGCAGATCTAGCAGCATCGATTGACCGTCAACGGGGAAGGCAATCCCTTTTTACTTTTCATTTTTAGAACTGGTGTAACTAGGTTGTCAATTACTTACTTTTAGCATCGATGATGATGCAGTGAAATGAATGCCACCACCACCGCACGTGCTATTTTTGGATGCGATCTGTCATTTGCATGCTTGAATGAAAAGTATGGCACCCCGACCTTTTTGACACGGCTCATCGTCAGGGCGCTTATCTCCATGATATAGTGCAATCGTTGGCGACATGAAAACTCACGATAGTACAAATTGATGGGCAGCCTATTAGTTCAGCACAAAAGCGAGCCATTGATCCACAAGCTGGGAACAGCTTTGAAAGCATTTTTGACCTCGTTGCGGAATAATACATGAGCCGATGATCTCATAGAAGCACACACATGATTGCATAAGATAACTGCATATCGTACTTGCTATATCGCAAAAGATGCATTGTATAAAGCATAGCCTAATCTTCCGCCATACATGAATAGATCAACTATCCAACAAGATCTGATCAATAAAAGAAGGAGGTGTGTTCTGTTTCCAATATGGCCTTTGTTCAAGGCACAATGAATCAATGAGATCCGCTCTCTTCCTCTCTTTTTCCTTTACCACAACATTCACAAGTGGACTTGTACTATCAATTTTGCATAATAAATCTATCTATAATACAATGCATCAATTCCCATACACATGACGAGGTCCAACTCAGGAAGAAGGAAGGTCTTGTAGAAACTTAGAGATGATTGGCAACGCAATGTCTTATACACACAAGTAATCTTTTAATCCAACATCATTCACAAGAGATACATTGGGAGGTGCAACGAATTACAGCAATAGGGGGAAATACATCGATGTAGAGTGTTCCTATACTTTGTGTGTGCATGGTGCAAAGGTGAATGGATCAACGGTGAGTGGGACCTGATGGGTGATGGCGAATGGTATGAAGCATAACGTGTCAAAGTATAGAGATGGATGGTGATGATGTTCGATGTTGTACATGGTTGACAGGTCGCACAAAGGATGATGGTAGTAGCTGCCATGGAATACAGGGTGAAGTATGGTAATTGGATCACGTAGCATGATGAATGGTCGACCTGACAACGGATACATAAGGACAAGGCCCTTTTTCCACGCGTTGTATACACCCATCTCCTTCCATCCCATGCACCAAAGCGATATTCAGATCCATATCCATATCAATATCAATATCAATATCCATATCCATAACGATCCGTATGTATCAAAGCAAGTTGCTGCACGTAAACAAAGCTGCTTCCATACAATGGCAATCTGCTGTTCACGTGATAAAGGCTGCAAGGCATCTTGCTGCAAATAAAGAACGCTGCTGGAGACAATGAAGACAATGCTGATGGCAACTGCTGCAATGCACGCTGTTACGTTTGATTATGGTAGAGGAATGTACAAGAGAGTGTGTTGTAGTAGAGTGACAAGAAGGCTGCGCCATGGACTCGGCATTGAGTCCAAGACAATCGGATCAAGAGAATTGTAGGATCGACATGAGGGGTTGAAGCAGGACAATCGTTCGCAGGTGGTAGTTGTACGTACTTGAATGGGATAACAGCTGAGAATGGTGGGAGGAAGAGACAATAAGCAAGGAGAGGAAGAACTGGAAATTAAAACAGGCTGATCTGATGTTGAATGATACTTCCTTGTACAAGCGTTGCTCAATCAAATCTCATCGGATCAAGAAAGTTGAATGATGAGCATGCTGGGCTGGAGCAGGACAATCGTTCGTATGCATTGGATTGCACAACAATGGAGAATGGGAGGACTAAGGTTATTAGCTGGCATTTTGAACTATTCCTAAATAGCGTACAAGAATCATGCATCGCCTGTGCTGAATGACTCAAGTTACACAAACACGCCCTCTGCATCTTTTGCTCTGTTCTAGTCATACTACTTGACAATGAACAACGACCATCTTTCATATAGCATCACGCTTACAGCATATGTAAAATATAAAGGTGCCTGTATCTCTAAACTTTACAATGAAACGTGGGGTCTTCAATAGAACCATGTTGCTCGGCGGGGTGAAAGCGATCTTGTGTCAAACTATGAAGTCCATCGTGGCCAATCCCAGATTTCGCAATGTCGCCACCAGCCAAACTGGATCTGGGGGTCGACCTCTTCGTCGACGACGACCAAAAAATATTTTTTGGGCTAGTTACGACATTGAACGTGAAACTTTCACACAAGGTGCTGTTGACCAAGCCGAGCCCATTGCTCTAATAAAAACCCCACGTTTCATTGTAAAGTTTGGAGATACAGGCACCTTTATGTTTGTAAGCGTGATGCTATATGAGAAGTGGTCTTTGTTTAATATAAAGTAGCTAGACCCTGACAGAGCAAAAGATGCAGAGGGACGTGTTTGTGTAACTGGGTTAAAAAGTTTGGACTTCAGGGACCATGCATGACAGGTACGCAACCCTCACTTTTATGTCATACATTGGCAGCTAATAGCCACTTTTGTGCATTCCCAACTTTTGTGCATTCTATTGTAGGTGAACGATTCTCCTGCTCTAGACATTCATTTCTATGATTAAAGTAGCTTGATCCGAGCTGATTTGGTTGAGTTACGGTCGAACAAGGATTAATCAGCTGAGACATTCGCACGTATGCTGATGTATGGATTGATGTAATCTCCCTTTGACCGTAGCTCAGCCAAATCAGCTCGGATCAACCTACTTTAATCATGGAAATGAATGTCT